CCTGGCTCTGCTCTCAGGAATCACTCGTGGGGTTCAGGGGACCGTATAAGATACTGGGGACCAAACCTGGGTCCACCATGTACAAGGCAAATGTCCTCCCCACTGTCCTATTGCTGTGGCACCCCTGCCTGCGGTTTTGAGTGGCTGTTGGGTTGACAGAGCGGCTGCAGGAACTGCAGCCAAGCCAGGGGTGGTGCCAGTTGTTGGGAGGGAAATCCCGTCCGGCCCCTCAGGCTGGGTGCTGTCCTCAGGACCCCGGCTGAGGGCATCACAGCTGTGCTGACAGAGACAGGGCCTAGATGCCGGGGACCAGGCCTGGGAGGAGAGAGGGGAGACAGCTCTGACGTGCTCGCTCTGTGCACCAGAGACTGAGGAAGAGAAAATACCTCAAAAGCACAAAGCAAATGCTCAAGAAAGTTGGATCGCAATGAGAAACCATTAGGAAGTCAAACAAGGAATCTAGTAGGCAAAGATTTAAAAATAACGGGGAGGGGGGTGTGTGCCTCATGATTTGCATGTGGCCCCACCCAGGTTTGATCCCCCGCATCCCATAGTGTCCCCCAAACCAAAACAAAATAGACCCCAAAAGCAACTTCTGTCAGCTAGAGAGAGAACAGGACTAAAGTAAAGGCCCTCTGTGCTGCAGACCCACTATGCTCCCTGCACACCTGTCTGTCTGGCCATCCAGACCCCACTCCCAGTGCTGTGAGGTACAGCCTCTGGAGGCCTCTGGACCCCTCTGCACTCAGGGATCACTCCTGGCAGGCTCGTGGGACCATATGGGATGCTGGGGTTTGAACCCGGGCCTGGCTTGTGCAAACAAAGCACCCTCCCCACTGGACTATCTCTCCAGCCCCAGCCCACAAACTATCTTCAGAAAAAAGTCAACAAAATACAGTGAATACACAACAAAATAACAGGCATTACTGAGGTAACAGCAAACTGAGGAGTCAAAGGAATTTTGTAAGAACTACCAGCGTTAATTGTTAACTGACCAACTTTAGTTGTTAACGTAGCACAGAGTGTTGGGGACCAGTACCCAGAACTTTGGAGATGGAGTGCCCCCTCGTCTAGAAGAATTTCCCCTGGAGGAAGTGCTTCATATGTGTTTATGTCTTTTCTCCCTTATTCCCATTATTCTTCCTTATTCCCATTTACACGACAGAGCCTGGCCAGCTACCCATGGTGTATTCAATATGTCAAAAACAGTAACAATAATGGGTCTCATTCCCCTGACCCTGAAAAAGCCTCCAATTGTTAGGAAAGATGAGTAAGGAGAGGCTGCTAAAATCTCAGGACTGGGATGCACAGAGACGTTACTGGTGCCCACTTGAGTAAATCAATGAACAACAGGATAACTAGCTTTTTGGGTCACACCCAGCGATGCTCAGGGATTCCTTCTGGCTCTGCACTCAGGAATTACTCCTGGTGGTGCTCAGGGGACTCAGTGATATGCCAGGGATCAAACCCAGGTCAGACACATGCCAGGCAAACGCCTTCCCCACTGTGCAATAGTCCCTCAGCCTCTTTATTTTATGTTTTCTTTTTGGGTCACATCCTGCAATGCACAGGAATTCCTCCTGGCTCTGCACTGAATTACTCCTGGCAGTGCTCGGGGGACCCTCTGGGATGCTGGGAATCGAACCTTGGTCGGCCGCGTGCAAGGCAAACACCCTCCCCGCTGTGCTATTACTCCAGCCCCTTCAGCCTCTTTTCTTAATCCCCGTGGTGCTTTGCTTCAGGCCTGTTCACCCGGGGCTGGTCCCAGGCAGCTGATGCCCAAATAGGGACCCAGAGAAGTAGGAAGTGTCTGGCACCGACAATAATCAGAAGAACCACGACAGACAAACTGACAAACTGTGAGGACCCAGAAGTGAAGGAGAGGGCCCTGCTGAGACCAGGAGCGAGCAGAGCTCCAAGGGTGAGTGTTCTGGGGGTTTGTGAATCAGGGCTATAAAGGGACAAAGTACTTCCACAGAGGGGTGAACACAGAACTCTTTAATGTATGTGCTAGGCCAATACCCGCTATACTATCGCTCCAGCCCCAATTTAAAGGTTTTTAAAATCATATGCCTCTAGGTCGTATTCGATATGCCAAACACAATAACAATTGTCACAATGGAGACGTTACTGGGCCCACTCGAGCAAATTGATGAACAACGGGAGGACAGTGGCAGTGACAGTGATGCCTCTAGGTTATTTCTCTTGCTGACTAGATTTATAGTAGAGGTAACATGGGCATATATATTGAATAAACTGAAGGAAAGAAGTTGCAAGCTTCCCTGCGAGCTCTTAAGATAAGGTCTGTTTGGGAGCTGGAGTAATAGTACAGCGGGGAGGGTGTTGGCCTGGCATGCAGCCGACCTGGGTTCGATCCCCAGCATTCCATGTGGTCCCCTGAGCATTGAGTATCACCAGGAGAAATTCCTGAGTGCAGAGCCAAGAGTCAGCCCTGAGCATCGCTGGGTGTGACCCAAAAAGCAAGAATAAATAAATAAAAATAAATAAATAAATAAATAAATAAATATCAGATCTATTTTATTTGGTCTGGAGCGATAGCACAGCGGTTGGGCATTTGACTTGCACGTGGCCGGCCCGGCCGACCTGAGTTCGATTCCTCCGCCCCTCTCGGAGAGCCCGGCCAGCTACCGAGAGTATCTCACCCGCACAGCAGAGCCTGGCAAGCTTCCCGTGAGGTCTTTGAGATGCCAAACACAGTAACAACAAGTCTCATGATGGAGACGTTACTGGGCCCGCTCGAGCAAATCGATGAACAACGGGAGGATAGTGCTACAGTGCTGTTTTATTTACCAACAATGACCCGAAATCAAATTAAATTGAAAATGCTTAGATCATTGTTAGAAAATTCAGTATTTCTGGTAAACACATCAGGGTTAAACTAAACTCCAGGGGAGAATGTGGTCCTAGACAGACAAAACAGAGCGGGGAGGGAACATACGACCCTCTTATTTTTTCCCCATTTCCTCTATTTTTTTCCATTGTGTGCACAAAAAAACGCTTGGAGGCTTCTCGCTCCTGGGGCTGGTGAGAAGTGAGGTGGGTGGGCACTCGCCTTTCGAGACTACTTCCAGGTTTGGTCCCTGACACCGTGTAGGTCCCCAGATTCCCGAGAGGAGCGATCTGAGTTCAAAACCACCCTCCCCCAAATTCAGGGTCAAGTAAACCCATCAAAAAAAGGAATTTTCAAGAGCATTTGCAAGCAATTTTCACTTTTTATTTTTGGGTAGTGATGGTGGGGAGGGGGGCAGGAGCGATAGCACAGCAGGTAGGGCGTTTGCCTTGCATGCAGCTGAACCAGGTTTGAGTCCTCCATCCCTCTTGGAGAGCCTGGCAAGCTACCAAGAGTATCCCGCCCACACGGCAGAGCCTGGCAAGCTTCCCGTGGCATATTCGATATGCTAAAAACAGTAATAAATCTCACAATGGAGCTGTTACTGGTGCCCACTTGAGCAAATCGACGAATAGTGGGAGGACAGTGCTACAGTGCTATATAATTTATAAAATATAAATTTTATAATTTATATCGCTGGAGCGATAGCACAGCGGTAGGGCGTTTGCCTTGCATGCAGCCAACATGGCCGACCCGAGTTCGATTCCTCCACCCCTCTCGGAGAGCCCGGCAAGCTACCGAGAGTATCTCGCCCGCACGGCAGAGCCTGGCAAGCTCCCTGTGCCGTATTCGATATGCCAGACACAGTAACAACAAAGTCTCCAATGGAGACGTTACTGGGCCCGCTCGAGCAAATATAAAATATAAATATTACATATAAAATAATTTATAATTTTTTATGTGAACAACGGGAGGACAGTGCGACAGTGATGGTGTGGGCGTGGCACAGTTGCCCTGCCCTCTGCCCCTCCTCCAGCATATGTGAATGACAGCCTACAGGTGTTCCTGGAGCCCCCACTAAGACCTCCCTACCCATCTGCAGGTACTAGCCGGAGAGCCCACGAGTGTCGTCAGCACTGCCCTCCCAGCAAGCACTGCGTACTCTCCTGCCAGTATTAACTGCAGTCTGCAGGGATGTCAGTTGCCCTCTCCTGCCCCATGCTCAGGTGCCAGCCATTGATCCTGTAGATGTAGTGTCCCCCCTCATCCCCCAGCTCATGCCCATCTGCAGGTAGCAGCCAGAGATCCTGTGGGTGTGCCCAGAGCCCCCGCCCCCCACCCTCCTGCCAGAACTGCAGGTACCAGACATCGAACCTATACTGTAGTATGATCACAGTGAATTTTTTTCCTCTGGATTTTCAGGGACTTAAATGAAAAACTTGGTCTTTTATTCACAGAAACTGCAGTATCAGTTAACGAATCCAGATCATTAACTTTTTTTTCTGCTTTTTGGATCACATCTGGTGATGCACAGGGGTTACTCCTAGCTCTGCACTCAGGAATTACTCCTGGCGGTGCTCGGGGGATCATGTGGGATGCTGGGGATTGAACTCTGTTGGCCAAGTGCAAGGCAAACGCCCTCCCTCGCTGTACTATCGCTCCAGCCCCCAGATTGAGTGGGCCAGTAACGTCTCCACTGTGACACTTGTCACTGTGTTTGGCATATCGAATACATCATGGGTAGCTTGCCAGTCTTTGCCGTGCAGGCGAGATACGGTGCCGAAACAGCTCAGTTGGGAGAGCGTTAGACTGAAGCCCCCACATCACTAACTTCTAAAATACTGTTTCTCTGATAATAAACTAAACTTAAGGGAAGCCAACCCAGGATTTAAAAAAGCCAGAGACTGAGGCCAGAGAGATAGTAGACTAGGGAGGGTGTTTGCTTTGTACGCGGCTGACCTGGGTTCGACCGCCAGCTTCATATGATGCCCTGAGCACCCTGAGGAATCATTCCTGAGTGCAGAGCCAGGAGTAACCCCTGAGCACCACCTCGTGTGATCCAAAAAGCCTCCTCCCCGCCCCCCTTCCCCCAAAAAAGCCAGAGACGAGCAATGTGTCAATGAGTCAGATTCTATAATACTGTCCTGAACAAAAGAATGCAGACACTTTTAGATGCTGCTAAAAAAATTAAACTGGAGGGGGAACAAAAAGGGGGGGCTTATAAGACCACATTTTCACAGAAACTATCTTTTTAATATTTTCCGTTTTCAGAGCATACATGGGGAACCACAGCCTGTCCAAACTGTAGGATCCAGGAGAAAAGATGATTCACTGTCGGTCAGCCTTGGCTGACGAAGGAAACTTCACGATGTCTTCATTTCAAATGAGCGGGCATCACGCCGGTTGGACCCCCAGCCTGGACAATCTGGGCGTCCCTTTCTCAGAACAGTCTTGGCCTCGCTAGCTCGTGCCTCCCCGCAGCCTGGGGTTGGGGGGGGGGCTCAGGCCCCCACCTGTCACCACATGGCTCGCTGGACCCCTGACAGCAGGCCGTGGTCCGCCAAGTGCCGGAAGACGATACGGCTGAGTCGCCAGCGCCGCTTCACCCCACGTGGCCGGGAGGTCATGACACAGCGGTTCCTGATGCGGACCGGACAGCTGTCGCGGGGCAGGGCCGCGATCTCTTCATCAGCCACCTCCTAGGGGGAGCAAACGAGGTTACAGGTTCATTTTTAAAAACTAGATAAGGGGCTAGAGCAATAGCACAGCGGGGAGGGCATTGGCCTTGCATGCGGCTGACCGGGTTCGATTCCCAGCATCCCATAGGGTCCCCTGAGCACCGCAGGGGGTGATTCCTGAGTGCATGAGCCAGGAGGAACCCCTGTACATCAGTGGGTGTGACCCAAAAAGCAAAATAAAAAGAACCCTTGCTTGGGGCTGGAGCGATAGCACAGCGGGGAGGGTGTTTGCCTGGCACGAGGCCGACCCAGGTTCGATTCCCAGCATCCCACAGGGTCCCCCAAGCACTGCCAGGAGTGGTTCCTGAGTGCGGAGCCAGGAGGAACCCCTGAGCATCGCCGGGTGTGAACCGCCCCCCCACCCCCCACCGAAAAAGAAGACAGATGAAGTGGGGGAGATCAAATCAGGTCAAAGCAGCAGCCTGATTCTGTGTGATCTCCACACCCTGGTACTTTTTCACCGCCATGGAATGCCACGGCTTTTTGCTTTTTGGGTCCACCTGGAGATGCTCAGGGGTTACTCCTGGCTCTAGCACTCAGGAGTCACTTCTGGTGGTGCTCAGGGGACCATATGGGATGCTGGGATTCAAACCTGGGTTGGCTGCATGCAAGGCAAATGCCCTACCTGCTGTGCTATCGCTCCAGCCCCAAGGAGCGAATAGCTTTAAGTTGCCAAAAACAGTTTCAGGGGCAACAATTTAAGAGATTACTGTCATTGTCACTGTTCTCCCGTACTAACTGGATCAAAAGGTCCCTGAGCTGCGGGGCAGATCTGTCGGTGGCTGGGACCTGGGTTCTCTCCAGGAACTGACCTGCAGGCCTCTGGGCAGGATGGTGTTCTTCCGGAGGGAGTTGATACGCAGCCGCTCATCCGCATAGTCAAACGCCATCTTCCGTCTCTTTACGTCTCGTAACATCTTCCAGTCGACGTAGTAACTTCGAACTTGTCCTGCAGCTGATGCCGGGTCCACCTAGGGGACAGCCACAGGCAGCATCGAGGACAGTCAGGCTAGAGTCCCAAGCCCTGTCGATCCTCTCTATTGAGGGCTTTTGTGTTGGTTTTCTGGGGCCACGCTTGATGATGCTCAGGGTTGACTCCTGGCTCTGTGCTCAGGGATGGGATCACGCCTGGCTCTGCACTCAGGGGTGACTCCTGGCTCTGGACTCGGGGATCACTCCTGGCTCTGGACTCGGGGATCACTCCTGGCTCTGGACTCGGGGATCACTCCTGGCTCTGGACTCAGGCACCACTCCTGGCTCTGGACTCGGGGATCACTCCTGGCTCTGCACTCGGGAATCACTCCTGGCTGGGCTCTGGGGACCCCATGGTTCAGGGGGGATCCCATGGGGTGCCAGGGATCAAGCCTGGGTCAGCTGCAGGCAAGGCAAGGGAGGACCCAGAACTTTTTTAAAAAAGTAACTGGGGGACGGGGGAGCTAGAGAAATGCTATGGAGGTTAAGTCCCGCTGATTCCTATCTTTTCTATGAGAAAAAGAAAATTGGGGTGTGCCTCCAACCGGTGAACGTGGGGGAGGGGGAGGCAGCAATTCTTAACCCACGGAGCGTTTTGAGGGGAGAAAAGCTCAGCCGGTGGGGCCAGGGCCGGGTTCAGCTGGGTCCTCCAGGTCCCCATTTTCAAGGGTGCAGAGCCCGTGCCTTTAGGGAGTCCCAGGAAGGCTTTAGCACCGCCCCCAGGCCCAGGCCCCGCCCCCAGGATTCCGGCCAGGCCGCGGGGCCAGCTCAGGAGCACGGGGGTCTTCACGCTCCCAGCCCCGTGCCAGGGGGTCGTGCTGCAGCCCGCCCGCGCGCCGGGCCGAGAAGCATCAGGCGCGCTGCGTCCTCGCTGCTCCCGGTCTCGGGGGTCTCGGGAACCCCTGGCTCGGCCCACCTGCAGCCACGCTAGCGGCGGGGTCCCGGGAGCAGGGGAGAGGGCGAGGTGAGGCCTGACCTGCAGAAGCTTCCGCAGCAGCGAGCCCCACATGGAGGCCGCCATCTTGACGGCCGCTACGTCCAATCGCTGCGACCTCGGGCGCGGGTCCGCGAGGAGTGACGCCGCGAGGGGCGGGGCCTGGGCGTCGGGGCGGGCCCAGAGCTCGGGGGCGGGGCCTGGACCTCGGGGCGGGGCTAAAGCGGCCCTGGGGCTCCCTAAGGGCGCGGGAAGAGAAGGTTTGTGTTCCCCAAAGCAGGGGATTTGGTCACTGTCTTAGGCTCGATGCCGAGACCCTAACAGGGGACCATGTGGGATGCTGGGAATCTAACCTGAGTTGGCTGCAAGCACGGTGAATGCCCTCCCCACTGTGCTATGGCTCCAACCCCCTCACTTTTGTTTTCCCGCTTTTGTCCCACACCTGGAAGTGCTCAGGGCTTCTTCCTAGCTCCCTGGCTCTGTGGTCATCGATCAGACCTGACGGAGCTCAGGGAACCCAGTAGGGTGCCAGAAATCAAACCCAGGTTACCCACGTGTAAGGCAAGCACCCTCATAGAGACAATAGCCCCAACACCCCCCACCCAACTTGGTCTCTTAAGAAACTTAAGAATTTGGGGACGGAGCCTTAGTCGAGCAGTGGGGGCATTTGCTTTGCATGCGACCAACCTGGGTTTAATCCCTGGCATCCCATATGGTCCCCTTGATGTAGGCAGGTAGATAGGGAAAGGCTCTCTGCAATGAAACAAAGTCTCATAGAAGAATTCTAGGACCAACCCATCCTGTGGAGACAGAGAATAAGGACTTGATAAGACCATCCCCAGACCCTGAAGATATGGGCCTCCTCCTCATGAAATTCCTCCTTTCCAAGAACCCCCCTTTCAATCTGGTTGACTCCAGCGACCCAGCCCCAAGGTGATTCCAGGACATTCCAAGTCAGATGACTCTCGAACCCGCTTTCTATCCGGTTGACTCCAGCGACCCAGCCCCAAGGAGATCCCAGGACATTCCAAGTCAGATGACTCTCGAACCCGCTTTCAATCCGGTTGACTCCAGTGACCCAGCCCCAAGGAGATTCCAGAACATTCTGAGTCGGAAGGATCTATAAGAACCAGCTCGAGAGCCCACTTGGCGCTCTCTCCACCCTTGGAGAAGCCCGCGTTCCCTCTGGACGCGTTACTCTCTCTCTCTTCCTCTCCATTCCCCCGCTTATCTGCTCATCCCTTCCTCTCCCTCTCCAAAAGCCTCCAAATAAAACCTGTTACTTCACTGCTCGTCTACTCCTGAAATTCTTTTCTGCGAGCGAGACAAGAACCCCAGAAACCTCGGGTAAGGCTTGGGACTGGTCCCTCCTTTCCTGTAAAGAGCAAATTCTCGCCCCAGCTTGAGTCCGTGGCTCCCCGAGCAATCGGGTGGCGGGGATTAACTCCCGTGCCGAGAAGACCAAGCGGACTTCAGGTGTGGCTTGACGGCCACCTCGTGGGGCTGGCGGGGCTCAGGCCCGTGCCGAGCAGGTGCTCACTGCAGACTTTACCGGTCCTAGCCTACCCAGGGTTCCGGGTGGCAGAGGTGGGTGGGGAGAAAGTGGCCGTCTTTCTCCTCCCCACTTCACATAAGTCACCCGTGGGGCCCACCGACATCAGATGGCGACCACGAAGGGATAGAGCAGTGAAGGAATCCACGAGGAAGGAGGTAATCTGTGGAAAATCTGCTGTGGAGGTATGCTCCCTTGGAAATCTCTAGGGGGGAAGGGGGAGGAATGTGATAACCTCTGTGTGAGTGTGTGTGTGTATGAGCACCCTGATAGGAAAGCCCACTAGTGAGAAGAACCTGGGAAAACTGAGGCAGATCAATTTCTAGGTGGAAATCCCTTTTCCCAAGCAGAATCAGCTAGAGGTCAATTCAAATGCTAATGGAGGCAGTCAGCAGGTTTAGCCCTAGGCAAAGTGAAGCAGAGAAATAAAAAAAAGAGGTAAAAGACAGGCAAGAAGTTTGTGGAAGAAAGCGTCAGCAGGGAGCATTGGAATATGTGGCAAGCTAAGAGAGGCAGAACTTTTCTCTTCTCCCCTTAATAGGCTTCTTGGAAACCCATGGCACTCTAGGTATGGCTCCACACGTGTGAGCCATGGTCGTGTGGACGCTCGGGAGGCAGGCCCCAAGGGACGCCTGGGGTACCTCAGAAATCTCTAAAGGAGACGTCCTTTAAAGAGAGATTTTTCTGATGGGCCGGCATGCAGTTGTGGTCCTGTCCGCGCCCTCTGTCTAGAACCACAACACCACGGGCCGGCATGCAGTTGTGGTCATGTCCGCGCTGTCTCTAGAACCACAACACCACGGGCCGGCATGCAGTTGTGGTCGTGTCCGCGCCCTCTGTCTAGAACCACAACACCACGGGCCGGCATGCAGTTGTGGTCATGTCCGCGCAGTCTCTAGAACCACAACACTAGAAACTATTAGGAGGAGAGCTTGCTAAGGAATTATTCTACCCTAGATTTTTCTTTTTCCTCCCTCTCATAGGTTATTGCTGACACTTAGGAGATATGGGAAATTCTACATCAGTACCTAAACATTCTCCTTTGGGTTGCTTGTTAAAACACTGGAAGAGCCTGAAGCTAGATAGCTTAAGTAAGAAATATCTTGTTGACCTCTGTAACACCATGTGGCCTGAGTATAAGCTAGAACTTGGGGAAAGATGGCCAGTGAATGGCAGTTTGAATTACCAGATCATTTTGCAGTCAGATCTTTGCAGGTAACAAAAGAAATAGGATTATCAAAGCAGAGGAGGCAGGAAAATGCAAGATCATGTGATTAATTGTTTGATATCAGAAACAAAGAAGTATGTCACTAATGCAGCCTATCCCCATGTCTGATAAGAAGATACCAGTTCCCTGCCTCAGAACTAGCCTTGATCAAAATATGGTAACATCTGACAACCTTAGGTTTCAACCGCTTTGTCATAGTTTATCTTGCCCGCTGATATCAACAAAAGCGCTTTCTTGACCCATATTTTTAACAAACAGGAGACTCTCTGGTCAAGCTGGGAAACGGGGGCCGACAGGGCTTCTTTGCCCTGTGGACTGCTCCTTCCTTTGTCAGTCCATCAGTTTTCTCCCTACCATTTTTGAAGGGTCAGATCAATCGATCAGCTGCGGATGTGTGTACATGTACGTGTGGTGGTCTTTAGTCAGTTCATTGTCTGTCTGTCTGTCTGTCTGTCTGTGTGGAACACTCGAGTGCTGGTACCAGGTTGAAATCAGAAGTAGAAATTCTTGAGAAGTCAGTGATATGCAACTCAGTGATAGAAGGAATGCAGTTGTTTTTGGAACTTGTTAGACAAGGTTTAAATGAAGATTTCTTATCAGAAGGTTGAGCCTACAGGAAAAGCAGAATTCTCGATCTAGATTTCTTATTAGAAGAACATTAATGATTAGTAACAGTTGAAATCCTTTTGAACTTAAGAATCTGTACTATCTAGAAGAGCTGTGGAACTAGAGTCTGAAATTAAAGTGAAATAAAGTTCAGAGAATGCAAGGTTTTATCTTACAAGCCTCAGCCAATTGTAATGAGGAATTTAGCTGTTTTACAAACAACAGAGGTACATAAGCCACTAAAATAAAGTTTCCTCATATTAATTAATAGTTTTCTTATGTTACCATAAACATTGACAGTCCAAGTGCTTTTTCTATGCTAATATCAAAGTTTGGTAAAAACTAAAGGGCTTTTTCTGTGTCTGAAAGTATCTTTGTATTCTTGTGGAATTGGTAAAAGTATCTGGTGTAGAAAGCTTATGCTTGAAATAACTCAGGGACAAGAACTATTGAAATTAAGCCAAAGAGGGTTTACCATGTTTTATATTAATTGGCAGTTCAAAGGTTTTATGCTGTTATATCAATGTACATATTTGTATCTGCATTGGATTAGAATATTTGACCTAGAAAATCTTGTGAGTTGAAATAATGTGGTACATAAAACAGGTTCATGTTTATTTTAAAATATGAGTTTCTAGAGTTATAAAGTTGGTTGCAAAACTTATCCTACCAGTGGTTTTTATTTGATCTCTGAGACTTTTGGTAACTAAAATTTCTAAAGGTACCTAGCAAAGAATTATGAGTGATCTCAGATGTCATCTTGATAGTCTGAAGCCATAGCATTGCACCTTGGTGAAAGTATGAGATAACTGTATTGTTAATCAGCTTGTCCTGTATGTGAAAATGCATGCTATTATTATGATAACTTTATTTCATGCCAAGCTTTGTCTCCAGGTATCAACCTAGTCCTGACCTTCACAGAACTTTGTACACAAGTGTAAAATGCTTTCTGTTCTATGGTAATCTGAGTGTTTAATCTTTTTGCTTTTGTGTTTTCCTAGAAATCAGAATTCTAAAATGTCTCTTGGTTAATTTCTAATGTAAAGTGAACTTTTGCCCAATGAATTTATGTTGTAAGAACTTTAGTTGTGAGCATCTCTAAAGCCTTTTACAATATCTATAGAACTGATGTAATGCTTTTGAAAAGGTACTGCAGAGTATTTTTGTCATGTTAAATGAGATGATTGGTAACTAGTGTCCAAACTTGGGAGATCATGTTGTGCTAAATTCAGTAAAATAAGAGTTTAAACTTGTGGGATGACTCTTGGGAATATAGACGTGTGTCTTAAATCAGAAAGATGATGGATGGATTGTCTGGACTCCTGTTACAGTGCTCTTAGGATCATTGAATTTTTCAAAAGTTGCAGGAAATCAAGGGTTTTGACATGGGATTAAAAACACATGTTAAACGGTATGCTTTATCTCTACAGATTTTAGCTTCTCTGACTAGGACCCACAGCAAACAGGTGTATTACATCTCTGCGAGTAAAGTGAAATGCTTGCTTTTCTCTTCTTTTGTACCTTCAGTATGTTTTTTGATGTTTCATGGCACTATGTTGGTTTGCATAAATCCAGATAAGTCTTTCCTCTCTGTAATAGGGTCTACCCCTCATGCAGACAGGAAAAACCAACTATGGGACCCCAAAGCCCTCTTCCAGGGAACAGTCAGGGGATCTGTCTAAATGACAGGAGCAGGGATTTAACAGGTACTGTTTTCAAGTACCCTACAAACCTCAG